AAGCGATTAGTAAAATTGAGAGAGATTTATAAGAAACATCAACGAGCCGAGCTTAACGATGAGTCAAGATCTACATCGCTTAGAACGATTGTGATGGGATATTGTTGATATGTCAACTTTTAGCCGACCTCCTCGTCAGCACTTCGCTACCCTCCTTGGTAACCATCCGCTCAAATGGTTCCGCCTTGAACCGCTTAAGTGATTTGTCTGAAAATTGTGATAGCCACCGCTTCCCAGTACCCGAGTATGGTTTCTTAGTCATTTGGTAGATCGACCAAGCCCAGTCCCCTCTTGGCAGTTCTGGAGACGTCAGATGATGCCCAACAATGATCCCTCTGGTTCAGAAGGATGTTCCCTCGTAATATGCCCTTAGTCAGGGATGTGCAGTAGCCCCAATCCGTTTCCAGGATGGTAAGGCACTTTCCGTGATTGCTCCATTAGTGACTTCCCACTTCAAACCTTTACCAGGATTGTTGTCCAGCGTCCCTCTAATGGTTCGAGACACATTATATCCCTTTTAGCTAACTGCTCAGGCCAGCATTAGCCCTTGTGAGATGATGTCGTAATGTAGTGAAGTACATTATAGTATGTTGCAACTCGAGCAGATTTGAATAAATGCCCAGGCGCCCCCAATACCAGGTCTGTCACCGAAAAAGCCAAAAATGGCCTTACGAATTGAACGTAATACTACAGTATCAGCCTCTGGCTCCCCTCTGCCATTGCGACCCGTGCCCAGTGCCCAGCGTGGCTACAAGAATACGAGTTCCAGCTGCGGCAGGGGCAGGCGGTATGGGCGCTGAAGGTGATGCGCGACGGTCTCATATTGCGAGCGCACAAGTACATTTACCGGGATGGCGTGCACGGGACAAAGGTGAAGCTACAGTCGGGATCCAGGACAGACGTGATTCAACTGTGTATCAACTCCTCGGCGGCGGAGTACCGCACAGCGCGCGCTGCCTTAGTGAAGCTCGGGGCCATCTTGAAACAGACAGAGTGGCAGCGATATTTGAGGCCGCTGCTTGCTGAAGACGTGCGGGGCCGCCCATGCACCACATTTGGGGACCCTGAGCGGCAGAAAGGAGGAGGGGGAAGAAGAAGAAGAGGGCCCAGCCACCCGTGACTGGGCCAGAGAATGCACTAGCCGCTGAGATACAGGCAGAGGCAAAGAAGGAGATGCCGTGGATCTGGTACTTGGAGGGAAAGATGGGGAAGCCAGAGGAGGTGGTGAAGAGCGAGCGTAAGTCGTCCCGCACCCTCCGTTAAGGATTCCTTGCTGACTCTTGTCAAGCACTACAGATTGAGTAGGACGCAGGCGAAGGCCATGTGGTACGCAGAGGAGATCAACCTCGTTGAAGAGGAAATGTGGCACGTGCTGCAGTTTCTGAGATGGCGGAGAGATTGGTGGAAGGCACGGGCAGAGCTGAGGATTCAGGTGGATGGGGCTTTCCAAGATGGGCAGGCAGCCTATGCAAAGAAGCAGGCCGGTTACATGCACGGGCTACGGGAACACTTCAAGCAGTTGTGGAGATACATCCTGCAGGAGCTCAGAATGTCGCGCGAGGAATACGCGACCATGACGCCAGACAACGTCGAGACCGCTGACGGGGTGCAGGAGCAGCAGCCGAACTTGGCAACGTCTGCGGTGGTGGAAATTGCGACGGAATTGGAGCAGGAACTGGTGCACAAGTAACGCTTGGAATGGACAGTGGGGGTATGGATTATGATCGGGGGACATATCTAGGTAACAGGAGTAGGTACTCGTATGTACTGGCCGAAATTGTAGAGGGATTGAGATGGAAATGGGCCCAGCGTTGCTGGGGATGTTACGAGTGGCTGAATTACCGGGTTAGGATATTAGTAAGCGGTTTTGGAAAACAAGAGGCCACACTCTGGACAATGTTGATGACGGCAAGGGCAGCCCTCACCGGGACACTGATAGCAAGTACCCTAAAGGTGAGAATCTCTCAAATGATATATCAGACTGATCTACTATCCTGAGCAATAGATATATCAGCACTAATCTACCCAGAGAGCCTGTGATATATCACTATGCCACTTAGCGGTGTGCGTTCAAGCAAAGCCCCTTCGCCTCCTCCACTCTGACAGTCACGTGCTCCTTTCCCAGCACGTGTTTATGCGACACGTCTGTCAGAGTCGGTTGTGGGAGGGTGTTTTGAGACATATTTATTGCTGGGGAAACAGTGTTCCCCCCAGACTCCCCTCCTTTTGCCTGATGACATATCCAAGTGAAGGAATAATTTAATTTTCCTAATTTTCCGTGTTTTTGAGCTCATTCTCAGTATATTTTAGAATCTGGTGCGGGGGAGACCCCCTCCGACCCCCCTGGCGCTTGCCGCGCGGCCCACTGCGTGGTGCAAACCGCTCGCCGCGGGGGCCCACTGCATGGAGCTTTGAAATATATATTTTTTGTGTGTATTCCCTTGCCTGTCAAGGGCTCTGGGAGGTCATAATTCCATCAATCACCAACACCCCGAATTTGACGTGATCCGATCATCCCACGTGATGCAAGACAGATTTGGAGCCAGCACCGAACTCACATCAACGGAATATGCACAGAGCTTCACTGACGTCAAGTTGAACTGCCCCGCAGTTGTACCATCCCAAATGCCAGTCTACGTCAACAACTTCACAGACGTTGTCGGAAATATTCGGTGGTTCATGGCGCAGAGTGAAACGGCAGGATATTCCAAACAAGGGATCTTCAATGCCAGTGAAACACAGAAAACGGTCGATCAAACTGCATCACATCCTATTCCAGGTTGGTACACTGGTCTTACTATGCTCTTCCAGCACTAACAAAGCTCTGATCAAATCAGAAAGTCAATGGCGAGCCGAGCAAGTGCACATACCACCTCTGATACTCCAGAGACTAACAGCAACTTTTTTTCCATTCACAGCCAAAGAAGACATCGAGAGCATCAAGAAGTGGCCATTGACAACGAGAACGCTCGCAAAGCAGCAACAGAATTGAAAAAGAACCACTACATCATACCTCTTCCAGCTTATGATATCCACGGGAACCTCATTCATCCAACTCAATACCGGGACACCCAGAAAGGTGCAGTAGTCCGGGTCACAGTGCTCCTTAAACACTGGAATATTACCGTGAAAGACAATGTAAACAGGAGAGACACCTACACCGCGGACATCAAGAACCTGCGCGTCTTGGTGGCTGCCCCGAAATTTGCCGGTTCTCCTAAAGCCACCCGAACAATCGCACAAATGGACCCGGGAAGCCCGTCCAAGAAACAACACCGCATCTGAAACCAAGGTATGTTCATCACCCAAGTTCTCTGAATCTGTCTGAAAAACTTCGAAGATGATTCTGAGAAACTTCCCAAGATGATTCAACGAGACAGTGACTGCTGACAACACCATACTGAGAAAACGAAACATGAAACAAGATCCTTAACAGATGTACTTGTACTACAGAATTGCCATGCTCATTCTTGAATTCAGTGTATGTAAAAAAATGAGACCCCGTCAGGCAAGGGCTGTGCCGCTGAGGGCGGTGCTTTCTAGTGAATATATTTAATGCTTATTTGGAGTGAGGATTATCCAGTGCGGGGGAGACACCCGCGGACCCCCGAGCGCTCACCGCTGGGCTGCGCGGAGTACCCTCGCCGCGGGGCCCACAGCGTGGGGCTTGGACAGTAAAGAGAGAAAAAACACGAAAATAGAAGCAAAAACGCGTGCACTCGACTTTGAACCCGAGAGCCATCAATACCGCTCGGGCAGACTGGGTGACTTTTACAGTGATGGGTTCAGAGAAAACACCGGCCACCAGATTGTTTTTGGAGACTGGGTCCTCCCTGGGAGGACCGTACGCGTACCAGATTTGTATTGGATGTAACTCGGCGACAATAAAATCCCAGTTCTGGTTCTCCCTATCCATCGAGGGCATATTCCTGATTCAACCATTTCTCACCTCTGGTTCAAGTTTGATGTACAGTACCTGGAGGCCTGATCCTCAAGAGCCTTGTTGGGCACGGCATGCGCCAGTGTATACGGCGCCAATAGTATTCGGTGGGGACTCCAACAAAGCCCATATCTCGAGTCTGGTGTTGAAATATATAGTCCAGTCAGCCATGGTGTGAGGTACACCCGTTAATGGAGATGCGGCGAGCGTCCGGGCTTCGATTCTTCATGTCTGAACTTGATCCACGGGATCTTGACATGCTTTTTCTTCTCGAGTACAAATGTTGTGGTGAAAACCTTCGCAGATCTACGGAGTCCAATCAGATGTGGGTGGGGTACACCCTCGCCCTCTTTTTCATTCTTCTCGTGTCCAGCGAGCGTCGCAACCTCCGGCGCCTGAATCCAGTTATTCTCGCAAGCGATTTCTTCCTGCGCTCCCCCGGCGCGAGGCCATGCTGCGCAGATATAGGTCCTCTATCAGACGTGGTGTACGGCAAACCCTCGCTTTTAGTGCAGACACAGCACTTAAAAATGCAGCGAACGTCCGGGGTTCGATTCCCCGTGTCTGAGTATCCACTTTGCCTGCGAAAAGTTTTTTGAAAAATGTCTGTCTCGTTTTTGCTCTTTCTGTCCCGTTCTATTTCTTTCGCTTTTATTCGTCTGTCGCGTCTCAACAGAATTTGCGTGTCGACGGATTTTGCCCTTACTGCCTAAGCTTCCCATTCATTCGTTGGCAGATTGTCGATTTCCGAGATGAAACGAACCTTCGAACTCAACAACTTGACAACAACATGGGTACGCGATGGCGCTGAAAACAACGGTCTAAGGCAGGTGAGAGATGGATAAAGATAAGCCTGTCCATCACATCGAGGGCATATTTCTGGTTCAACCATTTCTCACTTACAGCTGGTTTCAAGCTCGATGTACAGTGGCTGGAGGCCTGATCCTCAAAAAATCGAGCTTGCTCACATGCGTAAATACACGAAGCCATAGTATTCGGTGGGGACTCCAAGTTAGTCCAACCGCAAAGCCCATGTCGGGTGTTGAAATATCCACCCCAATCAGACGTGGTGTAAGGGACACCCTCGCCTTCACTAATACGGATGCTCATAAGCTTCGGCGAGTTCCCGGGGTTCGATTCCCCGCGTCTGAATGTTTAAGTCCAACATGCTTTTTCTTCTTGCCCTCCCGCTTTGTGGTGCAAACCTCCGTAGATCCACAGCGTCCAATCAGACGACACCCTCGCTTTCATTATTCCCGTGTCCAGCGACCGTTGCAACTCCCGGCGCCTGAATAATCCACTCGTTCTCGTGAGTTATTTCTTCTTGCGCTCCCCTCAGGCTGGTGCATGAATATAGGTCTTCTAATCAGACGTGGTGTAAGGTACACCCTCGCCTTCATTATGTACTCGATCATTGCGCCACGAGATTCGGCGAGTTCCCGGGGTTCGATTCCCCGCGTCTGAATGACCAGGCAATCCCGACGTGTTTTTTTCTTCTTGCATTTCCGCATCCAAATGTTGCGGTGGACATTTCGTAGTTCAATCAGACGTGGGTCTTCTTATAAGTATCCGGCACCCGCAAGTTGTAAATTCTTCTTGCGCTCAGGTTATGCTGCGTAGATATGGGTCTTCTAATCAGATGTGGTGTAAGGTACACACACACTTGCTTTCATTATATGCATTATATGGGACCAAGATCAGCGAGCGTCCGGGGTTCGATTCCTTGCGTCTGAATGCCGCTTCCACAATTTTTTAATTTCCGTCTTATTTTCTTTTCTTTCCCGTTTGTTCACCTGCGTCCAAAAGAAATTTACGGTTTCTGTTGCTTCTCCTTGTCCATCCTTTCTTTCTTCGTTCTTCATTGTTGTGTTTTGGGATCGAAACGAACATTCGCAGTCAATAATATGAGTAATAAGTACGCGATGACATTGGAAAGGGACGTCCAAGGTCCAGGTTAGAGAGATCTAGATTCTAGATGGAGAAACAGAAGCTTCCCGACACAGATATCGATATCTGGCAGAAACAAGCACGTTGTGATCGCGCCCTTGCATTGGGGTGCTATTATGTCTCACGATGCCCGCTCTGCTTCGCGCTTGCCCTCCCCGGCACGAGCCGAGGCCGAAGCCAGTAGCCGCGGCTAGCCATGTCCCGCGCAAGGCTCTCCCTCGTTTCGACGTCCCGTCAGCGTCACGCATCGAGTACCCCTCTCCCACCCCATCTCTCCCCAATCACCACCACACACCCCCGCCCATCCAACTCCCTCCACTCCCCCCACTCCCCCCACCCCGCGCACGGCCCCCACGCCCGCGACCCACCCGGGCCCATCCAGCACCACGCGCTCCAGCGCCCCAAACGCCGCCCCGCACAGCGCCGCCGCGTGCGCCCTGACGCGCCGTAGCGCCTCCCCGGCGAGCCGCTCCGCGCCGAGGTACAGGTTGCACGCACGCGAGCGCGCGCGCGCGCGCGTCGGGCGGGGGGCGGCGCGTCGGTGGCGGAGAGGCGCGCGGGGGAGTAGTGCAGCGCGGCGAGGGCGGGGAGGAGCGCGAGGATGGCGGGGAAGGGGACGCGCGGCGGCGGGCGGGGGGGAAGGTGGCGGGGGCGGGGGTGCGGTCGTCGAAGAGAGTGAGGGTGCGCAGCGCGGGGAGGACGGGGAGGGCGGGCCATTCGAGGTGCGCGGGCGCGATGGTGAGGTGCGTGAGCTGGGCGAGGTTGGTGGCGTGCAGGATGGCGTGCACGCAGAAGGGTGTGAGCGGGAGGAGGACGAGGGATTGCAGACGGGGTAAGGGCGGAAAAACGGGCAGAGTAGCAGCGGAGAGGCCGGTGCCGATGCTGGCTGAGCTGGAGAGCGAGAGGTGCTGTATATTGGGCGCAGCGGCGAGGACGGCGCGCAGCAGGGGCGCTGACCAGGCGGTCTCGATCCAGTACACGCGTGTGAGGGATAGTAGAGGCGGGAGTGGGGTGGGCAAGGCAGCGGTGTAGAGGCGCTCGGACCGCGGAAACTCTGGCTGGACGAGGACGTTGATGTGTGGGCCGCAGTGTCGCAGCATGAACTCATTGTGGTGGAAGCGCGTCGGAGAAAGGCGCACGTTGCGCACCAGGATCGCGATTTCTGGCTGCAAGAGGGCACTTGATAGCGAGGGCCAGCGTCTCGTCTCATTTACCCAGATGTTTTCGTACAACAAGTCTTGCGCGAGCTTGGCCCATAGCCGACAAACACGCTGGAGGGAACGCGCGGCCTAAATCGACAATTAGAAGAAAGCCAACCGGCCAAGTTGCTGCACATCTACCTTGAAGAAAGGCTTCAAGTCTTTGTCGCTCATGGGATGCTCTGGCCCGATGTACCTGATAATTTCGTCCTGGGCGTGCAGTTTAGCCAGCGGCGAAATATCCGACAAGGCCAAGCGATGAATGTACATCCAGAGTTCGGCCGGGAGATCTGGTGGGGAGCCGCGCGCGCCAGCCATCGTCAACTCGCTCACAGGGAAGGTTTTGGGAGAAAGCAAGAATGTAGTGACAAACACGATCACCCAATCCTCGCCAATCGCGGTCATGTGGTGTTGTATCTTCCTTGCTTCTGCGCGTCCACGAGTCAATTCATGGCGCGTCTTCCAAGGTTCTCTTATATAGATAACTACGCTGTTCGAACGTGGCGATTTTGAACCCCCAAAAAATCGGATACGTGTCGCCACGACCTCAATGACCCTCTCCGAGTCAAATTCTGCGCAGCGGCGGCCACAGCGATCTGTCAAGGGTCTACGCTCCACATAAGTAACACTCGGTACCGACCACAGAGTCGAGGTCAAGAAGCTGTTCGATGCCTCAAAGTAGGACTCACGAAGGATCGCAAAAGACCGAGCGGAATTACTCGGGGTCTTCGGGTGTCCAGAGTACATTCAGCTCGACGACACCGTGCCGGTAAATACCGCTAATACATAACCTGACCACTCATCCACAACACCTCGCCTCTTCCCGCACGTTCCCTACAGCGCCGTCGCCTCGTCCGCATTCAAAATGAGCGTCGTAAAGAACGTGATCATCTCCACGAACGCGTCCGCCTTGATATCTACAAGTCGTACCAGTCAGAGTCAGCGTAGCTCGACAAAAAAATCGAAGAGAGTAATGTCGAGTCGAGGTAAAGGGAGAGGGAGAGGATGAAGAGACAAGCCACAAGCCACTCACGCTCATCAACAGTATGTATATTACCCAGCCCCTCGCTCCCGTGCCCGTAGCGGAAGATGTGCTTCGACAGCTCCCAGGTGAAGCGCGTGTCTGTTAACATTCACTCTCACCTGTTAGCCTACTATATCGCGGGTGCAGATGGACGCACCAGTGTTCGCGATCATCACCCCCGGCGCGACGTATATCTCCTCCTCCTCGACGCCCTTGCTTTTCCCGCTCCGCGCAGCCCGGAACGTCGCCCGAATCGTCCCCGCCAGCAACGCATACGCGCTCCCGCTGCTCGGCGTGACCGGTGCGGGCTCCAGCGTCCGCGGCGCGCTGAGCTCGAGGGTCCCGTACGCCGCCGCTGCGTCCGCCGCCGAGGTGAGCCGCTCGCCATATGCGGTGACGCTGAGGTTTGAAGCGCGCTGCGAGGTCGCGCACGAGCTGCGCGTCGCGCGCGGTGGTGGCGTTGACGGAGCTTTGGGTCGCGATGCGGTGGTTGACCACGGCCTGTGTAGTACACCCAATCGTCAGCGCCATTCACAGAGAAAGACGATGGGTGGGGGGCAAAGACCTCTAGAAAAAGAAACGCACCAGCGCCTGCTCCGGCAACGCATTGCTCTTCACGCCCCCACTAACCATATCCACCGCCTGCGTCGTCCCCACCAGTGCGCGGAACATCGTGTCTTCCAATAACAACTTCTCCGCCTGCTTCCTTGCGCGCTCGCTCTTCGGGGCGCGAAGAACGGCGCGGCGCAGCTTGCGCGGGATGGCGGGCGCGTGCGCGGCGAGGCAGGCAGCCATGCCGAAAGCGGGGGTGTCGACGTCGAGGGTGGGGACGGGGGCGTGGGCTTCGAGGTGCACGATGAGGGCGGCGAGCATGCCGATGGAGGTGTGGGCGGGGGGGACGCTGGGTAAAGAGAAGCGGTCAGTCGGTCGACATAAATAAGAAAGACGAGGGAAGATGAAAAGGAGTCAAGGAGGGAAGGGAAGGAAAGGCCCACCTAGAATGCCCACCGGGGGTCTTTATCTCGATGTTCACGTTCACCGAGCCCTTCTCGGCCACGCCGGGCGAGGCGAAGGTCGCACCGTACGTGTCGGTGAAGCCAGCTGTGGAATGGAGGCTCTGTCAGACTCAGAACACAGGGATGAGGAGGAGGGGCGGAAGGACGCACAGCCCTCATCGACGATCAAGGCGAAGGAGTCTGGGCCGAAGCGCTCGAGGAGCGCGGGGCCGAGGTGAGCGGCGCCCTGTGTCGATATTTCAGTCAGTATTATTTCGGCAAGATGAGTGGAGGGACGACATACGTGGAATCCTCCCCCCTCCTCGTCGAAGCCAAAGGAGAGCACGACCGTGCGCGTCGGCGCGAATCCCTTTTCGAGGAGGACCTCGATAGCCGTCCTATGCCGCATTTAATTGAGCTTGCGGTAAGAATATAGTACAGATGGCACGCACAGGATACCGATGACGCCGCTCTTGTCGTCGGTGCTACCGCGGCCCCAGATGTTTTCGCCTGCAGAAGAGATAAATGTAAGTATAAGTGAAGATAAGATACGAAGTAGAGAGCCGCACCGTCGAAGTGTCCTGAGTACGCGGGGAAGGTCCACTGGTCGGCGCTGAGGGGAGCGACGGGGACGACGTCAGCATGCAAAACGAAAGTACCAGCACAAGGGGCAGTCGGGATTCGAAATTCGTATATGACGTCGAAAAGGCCCTGGACCTGACGCCCCCCCCCCCCCCCCCCGCCCCCCCCCCCTCCCCCCCCTCCCCCAAATCGGGAAGGAGTTTCTCACGGATCACGTGTTCTCACCAAACTCCTCCGCGAAACCGTTCCAGCCTCTTCTGGCCTGCTATTTCAGCGCTCCTGGCTATCCAGTGCTCTCTGCGGCTTTCAATAAGCATTTACAAGAGCGGGCTGGGGCGCTCCGCGCCCCAGCACTTCGGTTGAGATCCCGAGACATACGTCATGAGAACAACATGAATAAAGGGA